GCGTGGAAGACTAGCACATTTAATTATTCGCGTCGAAAAGTAGCACATTTCAGATTTTTGCGTGGAATAGTAGCACATTTCATTATTTGCGTGGAAGACCAGCACATTTCAGATTTTTGCGTGGAAGAGTAACACATTTCAGATTTTTGCGTGGATGACTAGCACATTTCAGATTTTTGCGTGGGAAAGTAGCACATTTCACTATTTGCGTGGAAGAGTAGCACATTTCAGATTTTCGCGTGGAATAGTAGCACATTTCACTATTTGCGTGGAAGAGTAGCACATTTAGGGTTTAAACTAAATCATAAACGCATAATTTATATTGGAAATTCAAGTGGTTAATTTATATTTCTTTAATTCTATTATAAAATTCATGAAATTTAGACGGCATATAGCGTTTAGTGATCATTTGCTGGAGATCATCCACTTGTCTTTTTTTTAAGGCATTTTTCCCCTTCAAGCTTTATGCAATTCATATTGTTTTATGGTTAACCATTGAAATTTTGTTTTCAGTATGTTCAATTTCAATTAAAATAAAGTTCATTTAAAAAAAAACTATGTAAACCCACGCTTAAAATTTTGTAGAAATCTAAAAAAAACATCAATAATTTTCATTCAAATTTCAAATTTATTTACTCAGAAATGTTACAATTTTTGAGTATGAAGCTTTATAGCCAATTCAACTTTAGTGTGATAATGTGCAAGTTTCAAGAGCCGTAAAACCTTTGATTCCTTTCGTCGCATTTGCTACCATATAACGAATAAACACCATTTATTTTTATATGGGAGAAAACAGCAACAACGGAAATTTTTAGCCACTTGAAACTTGCACAATATTGGTAAAATTGAAAAGGCTTTAAATCTATATACTCAAAAAATTCTGAGAAAATAATTTTGACATTTGGATGAACATTTTTAGATTTTTTTAGTTTTCTACAAATTTTTAAATTTGGGTTTACATGGATTTCTTCAGAGAATGAACTTTATTTTAAAGAAAATTCTAAAAAAAAAATAAATAAACATAAGTGGAAAACAATATCACTTTGAAATGAGGTGCATATACATTAGGGTGGTCCAAAAATAGTAAAGTCGGAATTGTAATGCTCTCACCCCCTAGGATTGTTCTATATAGAAAAAAGTGTCTTCCTATTTTTTTATTTTAAAATCAAAAAATATTTAGAGGTCGCTTAAAGCGCTCAAAGTTTGCCATGTATTTTTGTATGCGAAAAAAAAACAACTTTTCGTAGAAATGGTATAGAATTCTTGAAAAATAATATTTTTCGATCGGAAAACTCTGGTTCTCTTCAGGAAACTTACAATAATAATACCCAATTATTTATTTAACCATTTTTTAATACTAACGATTTTTTATTTGTCCCCCCATTGCATTTTTCGGGGTTTTTGTGGGTTTTTGGCGGACCTACAAATCATAGTTGCGATGAAAAAATGGTTAAATAAACAATTGGGTATTATTATTGGGAATCCTGCAGATGAAAAAAGTTTTCCGATAGAAAAATATTAGTTGTTTTGAATTCCATACCATTTCTACCAAAAGTTTTTTTCCCCATATAAAATACATGGAAAACTTTGGGCGCTTTGAGCGACCTATAAATATTTTCAAAATAAAAAAGTAGGGGTATATTTTTTTTTTGGGTATAGAATAATCCTAGGGGGTGAGAGCATACAAATTCCGACTTTATTTTTTCACATGCATTTTTGGACCACCCTAATGCACATATATGTTTCTCGTATTTATAAATAGATTCCCTGAGGAAGATGCGTCAAAACAAGTAGGAGAAAAATAAACGTTTATTCTATTTGTAATAAAATACCGAAAAGCTCCATACGGGGAGCGGGGAGAAATAATTATAACATACATGTATGTTTTGTTTTTGTACGGCTGCTAGTACCACTTTATATGAATTCGCTACTCTTCTACGCGAGAATCTGAAATGTGCTACTCTTCCACGCAAAAATCTGAAATGTGCTAGTCTTCCACGCAAATAGTGAAATGTGCTACTCTTCCACGCGAATAGTGAAATGTGCTAGTCTTCCACGCGAAAATCTGAAATGTGCTACTTTTCGACGCGAATAATGAAACGTGCTAGTCTTCGACGTGAATAGTGGAACGCGCTAGTCTTCCATGGTAATTTGTGATGTGCTACTCTTCGCTGGGCCGCTGTGGTGTAGTGGTAAGCAGTGCGCGCTTCCACTCCACAATGCCTGGGTTCAAACCCTGGTCAAAGCAACATCGCAAAAATATAGAAAAAAGGTTTTTCATAACAGCGGTCGTCCCTCGGCAGGCAATGGCAAACCCCCGAGTGTATTTCTGCCATGAAAAACAGCTTCTCATAAAAATACAATCGCCGTTCGGAGTCGGCGTAAAACTGTAGGTCCCTCCGCTTTGTGTGACAACATCAAGGCGCACGCCACAAATCGGAGGAGAAGCTCGGCCAAACACTAACATATGTGTAAGCGCCAATCTACTCTTCGCTGGGAGCGACGATATGAACTGTCTCAGAACCATCCAAGCCAGAGTCGGCTCAGAACAAGTTCAAAAGTTCTGCAGAGGGCGACAATTGTCACTTCATAGGACATCGCCACGTTAAAACGGACAGTTGTAAGCATTGAGTTGGGATAAATGAAGAACCAGTACCGTCCCTTGTCAAGCTAGCTCAGCGCAAGTTCGGAACCAGTGTGATTTGCTGCAGGGTACGTACATAAATAAGTATGTATGTAGGTACTCGTATGCATGCGCGTTGAAGATGTTTGTGCTATCGCTTTGTATAGCCGTCGTACGTCGCTTTCTTTCTTTTTTCCCCTTCTCTATACAACATCTTTCTTCTTACTCATGTACCATTTTCAGTTTTAAAAATTTCACTCTCCATTTTTGCGATACCGCCGCCTAAGAAGTTTCTCTTCGAAAATACTATCGCCGTTTAGAGTCGACGTAAAATAGTAGGGACCCCCTTTTGTGGCACAACATCAAGGTGCACGCGACATATCGGAGGAGAAGCTCGGCCAAACACTAAGATATTGTGTAAACGTCAATCTATTACTATTTTTACACGTGAGATGTTGACTTAAAACATCGAGACCGCAGGTTCAAATCCCGCTACATGCAATTCAAACGATAGTACAATTCTGTTCTTTACAGCCCAATTTATATCGGGCAGAATTGTTATTCACATTATCTTTTTAATTTGGGTTTACGACATTCGATACGATACTAGGGTTCTGGTACTCGATTCCTAAAAATATCGTGTTAAAACTATCGAGTAAAAAATATCGGTATAGAATGCCAAAAGTATCCATATGGCGTCGTTTCGTATCGAAATTCGTGTCCCTAAATATTTCAACGGCTCAACTCTATCAAAAAGCTTATCCCTATATTAAGCAAGTGTCAAAATTATTAATTTAAAAAAAATCAAGCATATATACCAGAGACGTGAAACGGATGAAAAATTTGGTAGGTTCGGTTCAGCGGTTCGAACCGTTTTTGCACTTTTGGATTGGTTCTTCAACAAAGTAAATTTATCTATTGAAAATTGGTTGAAACGAACCTTTAAACCTTCATATATGAAAAGTGGTTCAGTTTTCGGTTCGGATCAAACATTTCGGTTCGGTTAATGGTTCAGTTAGTTAATAGAAAAAAACGGTTTTCCAGTTCAAAACCGGTTCGGTTCAAAACCGGTTCACGTCCCTGATACATACTTTGTATGAGAAAAATGCGTGACACAATCAGAAAAAAGCTATTAAAAAATCAATATAGTTTTTGAGCAACTTCAGACTTTCACTGTATGGTAATAAAATTTAGTGGGCTACAAAACTGCATACCAGAATTTTATTGAAATTTTTTTGATTTTGTTAATATTTGTATAAAATTTCAATTCTTGAATTGGGGCTGAAAAACTATCGATAGTGACACCATTCGATAGTTTCGAAAGTTTGAAAAATACTATCGATAGTATCGTATACTATCGCGTTGCATATGTAGGGAAACTTCAACTCCGAACAAAATGTGTATAATGTATACATATGTACATATGTATATATGTAAATATAATAATTGCACATAGGTAAATATTCCATCTTAAGCGTGAAATTTTTTCCTTAAATATTTTCCTTAGTTCAATTTTAGCGTCACTTATTTAAGTAAAGATCACAAAATTTCAATGCACCGGCACTATTGAAACTATCGACTATCGCCCAAAAACAATCGATGTTTTTCCAAAAATAAAACTATCGATAGTACATTCGATAGTTTTGCAGCTCTACCTTCAATTAAATAGTTTTTGTTATAGAGTTACGTATATTTCAATTGAAATTAAACACTAAAATTTAAATAGCCAAAACTTGTCAATATATTGTAAAATTTTAATTTTTTTGACAAGCGCTGTATAGTAAAAAAGGCACTGAATTTTTGACGAAATAAACAAAGTAAACCAAATGGCAGTGTCTGACTATAATTGCAAGCTTTAAACAAATTTGGCTACGTCTCAGTCAGATTTGCTACATTTTGCGCTACAACCCCACTATTGGGAATTAGTTTCAAATGAAGTGGTTAATAAACATTTACGTACAACTGCACTTCAGGCAAGGGCGACCAAAATACTTTTCACTTACCATAATGTAGGATAACGGTGTTGCTGGAGGAACACTTGTGGCAATTAGTTCCATGTTGTGCAGCCATGGCAATAGACATTGTATTAACAGCGCACGCACCTCCTCCCTCGCCGTCTGGAAGCGATGTGTAATTTCTGTGCCGAGAAGAGCGAAAAAGTTGCAAATAGTGAAGCAATTGTAATCGATGTTGGTTTGAAAAAGGAAAGTTTAAAATTTGCAGAATGAATAAGCAATGGTAATGAATGCGTTTGAAATGTAAATTCTGCGGTTAACTTACCGGAGAACATTGACATGGAGAGTTCAGGGCGAAGCTGAGCCAATTGCTTGGAGAGAAAACGTTGCGAACGACAATACGCACTGCTGAGCAATGTATCCAAAGTGCCAACTTTGTGGTCATCTTCTGAAAGCAATGCAAAAGGAAATTCTGCAGTTAGGTAACTTATCAAACAAATTTAACATATATATATTATAATATACATATGTATACATGTAGAGAAAACTTAAACCTAATTTGGCAGACATTAACACGAAGTTAAAATTATCAAAAAATTATTCCCACACGTCCTTCCTTATGAAATTCAGCGTCGCGACTGATTGCAGCAGCATTTAAATTGATAAACTTTGAGAAAAGCTTTCATGGAAGGCAAATAAGCAATATCGTATCGCAAACTCCTATACTGCACAGGGGACGTCGCGCTCGCGTTCCCCGCTCCACCCCTCCTTTCACAACTACGCACTGGTGGCATTATAACCGTTTAGAAAAAAGAATAATAATAAAATAACACTAGTTCACTTCATAGGAATTATTGTGTATGGTGTTATTGCATGCATCAAAAAATAAAGTGAGAAAGCCGTTTTATTGCTTCATCTGTTTATTGCGACATCGTTCCATGCATACATTTTAAGGTTTTCCAGCAATGTTTTTAACATACTAAAAAACATGCAGATAAAATTCATACAAAAGAGCTATGTCCAATATGACGAGCAGTTATTAAAGACGATGCTTTCCCTATATTTTGTTAGACTTTTCATAAGTAAAAATATTTTGTGAATACTACTTTTTATATATGAATTATATCACATGTTTTGTTTAATTTAAGGCCTATCACACAGGTTTAGAGCATTTGACCAAAAACAACATTTGCCTGTACTTTGTTGTTGCTTCTGGTATCGAAACTGTCAAAAACGGTTCTGATTTTTTTCTCTATATCAAAGCGTGCCATGTAAAATACAAAAAAGTTAAAAAATTTAAATTGAAAAAATGAAAATTGTTGCAACTTTCTTTCTTAGTAAATTGGTTTGCTTTTCGAATCCATCCTGTGCCAGGCCCGGTAATCAGCGGTTGAGCTGCTGAGTTGGGCGAGGGTTCCAAAAGCTGATATTCAACCGCTGGGTTTGTATGGAAAAAGGTTTCACATGCAAATAGATTTTACCAATTTAGAATTTTTGTTAGAAGAAATTAAAAATTTTCGAGAACAAATAATTTGAAAAAAATCTAATCAGCTGCTATACTGATACTACCTGTTCAATGTGCCTTGGTTATTTTTCCTTCTTTCAGTAAACTGTTTTTTTTCTTTAAAAATAGTATAAATAAGCAATGGGAAATAAGGCAAAATTTGTTTTATTTCCAACCTTTGTTGGAAATAAAGCAAAACTCAGATTTGGGTATTATTTCCCATTTAAAAGTAAAATAAAGCAAATTTTGCATTATTGCCGTTTGTGTTATTTCCCCCCCCCCCCCTTAGTAGTAACTTGTGACTAACTACTTTTGGGCATAAAATATCAATAGGAAAAACAAAGATTTTTATTTACTTTTTATTTTTTATTTACTTTATTTATTTTATTACATTTCATATTTGTTTACATATTCTGCAGTAGGTAGTCCCATATTCGAACTCCGTCAGACATAACTTCAAAATGATAATATGAAATTTCGATCTTCCTTTTATTTGTCCTCAATTCGAAAAAGTATTTGCGAAGTGCAGGATATTTAAACAGAAAACAATCTCCTTCATTACTCCTGCATTACTTGTCAACTAGTTTGAAGTTACCTTTTTGTAGCTAACTATAAGTTATATATTTTATAGAAATCCCACAAAAAAGCTAACTGCAAGTGGGCTATTTTTTATCATTTGATTATTCTTTTCTGCAGGGTATGAACTGTTGATAAAATAGTGGGACTACATGTTCTAGTGAGGAATTCAATGATATCGAGTGGGATGCATATAATACATTTTTTGCATATGAAAAATTATGGGGAGATACTGTAAACATACTGTTGTGATGATAAATTATAGCAAGTTGAATTTTCGTACATCTTCCCATAAAAAGTTTAACAGATGTGGAGATGCCAAGGAGGTTTTTTCCCATAATGACGCCTTTTTTAATATAAAACCCACCAAAAAGAAGGAAAGCGGCTACTCCGCCATACACGTACATGTCAAAAGTAGGAATTTTAAAAATTAAAAACAATAAACAAACAATTTCAAAACAAAAAAATTCTTCGTACTAGATCTTTTTCAATAGAAGCAACTCACGTATGGTGGACAATAAAAATACAAAGCACTATGATAACAAGACTAGAGGTGTCAAACTATCGATAGTTTTGATAGTTTTCAGAAAAACTATCAATATTCACGATAGTCTCGAAAAAAACAAAACTATCGATAGCACTATCAGTTAGGTTACTTTGTTTTTACAGGAGCATAGTGAAATAAGTATTATCCTATAAAAGTTATAATCATTCAAAATTAAGTAACTGCTTAGCCAAAATACTTCTTTTTTTAGAAATTTCAAAAAGAAACACAATTTATACAAAAAAAACAGGATTTACGCTTAACATATGTATGTATAATTTCAAAAAAATTGGGAGAGATGATCGATAGTCCTACTAAACTATCGATATTTTGATAGTATAAGAAAAAACTATCAATGAGTATTGATAGTCTAAAAAACTTGAAACTATCGATACTATCGATAGTGCTATCGTTTAGTTTGACAACTCTAAACAAGACATTACACAACATTTTAATGAGCTTTATATCACATTTAAGTAAAAATAAGCCTATATTGGCCAAACTGGCAAAGAAATGAAAATGTGTATTTTTTGTTGTTTACAAAAAACTTGCCAAATATACATATAAGTCATGATACAATGAAACAAGGTTGTGTAATATGTGACAGCTAAAATTTGACACTCCTTTATCTAGATTTGTATTTTGGAAGTAGGAGAAAGGGGAAGAATGTGATCGCCGTTTGCGAAAACGGTAGTGGAATGGTATTACAAAAAGTACGCAAAGTAAGTAAAAGGTGTATTATTAATTCTATGCGAATTTGCAATACATTTGGTGTTTTAATGGAAATACTAAACAATACGTATAAATATAGATTTTTAATTTAAGTTATTCGTCATTTCCTGAAACAAATCTAGAATACCCACCGTTCAGCTATGCAAAAACAAAAAATGCAGATCAATAGAACTTTTTACGCTCATTTCAACCATGCCAGAATTATTAAGCGCAAGTAAAATATAAAGACGTTTTAGAAGGTTAAAGTTAATATTTTTGATTTTTTTTTTAATATTAATATCTTATGAACCACATAACCGATTAAAAAACTAATAACGTCACCTTAAAAATAATCAATTTATCTTTCAGCTGATATACATAATTAAAATTGTTTTTTATATATTTAAACCAAAACAACTAAAAAGCGAACAAATGTTATTTTTTCATGAGTTTTTTCTTTGGAAAAAACTGCATGAATAATGGCAAAGAAATTTATATTATTTAGAAAGTACAAGCTATTATCTTTAATTCGATATACATATTTCATCAAGATCTTCTTTTGGGTTGTAAGAATTAAGTGATAATAAAAAATATAAATAAACAAAGCAAATAAACCCCTTATATCTCCTTTATTTTTAACCTGCGCCAAATGAATTTGGTATCGTTGAAATCAGTGAAAAAAGTTCTATCAATCGCCGCTTTTGGTTATTTTATAGCTAAACGTTCGCTATTCTAGACTTGTTCCAGAAAATTACGCAAACGAATGTGATGCCAACGAATATTTAGTATGAAGAATTTTTGGTTTTACTACTAATATAACTAAAAACTGTAAAGGAGCCGATTTTATGTGTGCGAGCGAGAAGACTGTTTTATTACAAAACCTTTCTATTACTGAATCCTGGAAGGCATGTATACTTCTCCCTTTAATTTTTTCATACAGTTGATGCTTCTTTCTGGCTTTTACAAAATGCAGGGATACCACACTTACTTCGGTACAATATGATCGTAATGTATTTTCAATTCGAAATTGCCATTGCAGAACAATAAGTGCATATTTGCAAACTAATGCAAAGAATGGAGTGTCAGAAAATTAACGAAACAAACGAACATTTTATGGTCTTATGTTTCCTTCAAACCTCATTGCTACTTTTTCTAACTCTTCCTTTTGTTTAGCTTGAATGAGCAATTTTCATTTGCTTCTGAATTTTGGGTACATTTTCTTATAGTACCTCTCATTCTTTTTGATATTACATATATACACTCCGATGTTCGCGGTCGCACCTCTGTTGGTTTACTATTACCTCCGAGCGTATTTTGTCATGGAAACAGCTTCTCATAAAAATACAATTGGCGTTCGGAGTCGGCGTAAAACTGTCATTTACTTTGTGTGACAAAATCACGCACGCCTCATATGGGAGGAGAAGCTAGGCCAAACACCAACCTAACATAGGGCCAATTTCACAGTGCGTAGTTAACTCAGAATCGCCAGTTAACTATAGATTTTTGTACTGAAAATCTCTAGTTAACTGCCGTTTCTGAGTTAACTACGCACTATGAAATTGGCCCATAGTGTGTAAGCGCCAATATGTATATCGTCTTATAAAGTACAAAAGCGCATATCGTGGTTCTGCAAAACCTCGAAACTGAAATTTGTGCCAAACAAGATATTTGGTCACCGGAAGCTGATGGCATCAAGCCCTTAGCCATTTATAATAAAATATCGATACTTAGACATAAGGAGAAGAGATAATTAAGTTTAAAAGAGAGAACCGTTTTTAATTAGGACAAGTTTTACTCTCTACTATAAAATTTAGGCAAAATCACATACGAGGTTTTGCATTTTCTGGATGCGCGGTTTTGTACTTTAAACGACGATATGTAAAAGTATTGCATACATATTTTGGTGCCGTTTCAAGTATAAAATCCATTAAGAAACGGAAGAAAACGACATCGCTATAATTTCAACTTATGCCAAACGTTTCGTAAACAAGCAATTCTGAACAAAAAACTGTTTTTCCACAAAGATGTTTAAATGGAAGCATTACAAATATGAAAAAATAGCAATCCACCAGGCTTTATTGGCAGTAGCTCCTTTTTAAAGCATATTTAACAAAAAAATAAGCTTCTAGTTTCGAAGCGAGCACAAAATAAAATTTTTTTATTTGTTGTTTACAAAAAATGCTTGCCAAGTATATAAGTCAAAATTGTTAAATATATATCGCTTTCATTCATTTCTTCATAGAGTTGGTGCTTCTTTTATAGGAAAATTCATACGGCTTATGAACAGATTCATATCA